TTATTCTGTTTTTTTTTTGGGGGGGGGGGTTGAATTTTCTTACTAGGTTGAGAGTAGTCAATTTCAATTTGGATCTTCAGATTTTTTTTTTTGCTTTCAGTTTTCGATGAGGTATCTTTTTTTATTTTTTATTTGATTTTAGTTGTTGATTGATGAGGATGATTTTAAATTTTTAATATACTTTAGGCAATATCAGTTTGTTTCATCCGAGCGAATTCGACAATTTCGCCAGCCGCAAAGCGGACTTTTGGGGGTGCTGCCCCGGGGGTTGGGTTGCGCAGTGGTCAGGGATCAGAGCCCCCTAGTGTCTATAAAAAGGAGGTGATCCATTTGAACTTATCTTCTACCAATTTCGACCAATTTTTTAAGTTTTTACCTTTTTCACAAAAAGGCATGCTGATGACTGACAGCAAGTGATTCACAAAAATTAGCAGGTATAGAAATAGATAAAGTATAATAAGGTTAAAATATTTTAGAGCTACTGTAATATAGATCTACTATAATATATAAATACTGTACTATAATACATATTACATTATAGAACATCAAAGATCAAGAAAAATAGAAAAAATATTAAACTGTGGATGTGAGAAAAGACCCTCTGATAACATCTTAAGTGGGTCATGCTCGCTTGATCTCTAATTTCCTTTACAATTATTGAGGTTTTAGATGAAGTAACTCACTTGGGGAAATGTGTAAGAACAAGATCTCTCTTTTCTGGTGGCATTTTATCCCGATCACTTCGGCACCTTTCCATAAGCTGTCTCCGAACTGTCCTGAACACAGCACAAAGTAACGTCCGCCCGAACACAAGAGCAGTTTCAAAATGTGGAAGTGAGTCACAAAAAGCTGGAACTTGACAAAATATCAGCCACCTGTGAAAAGAGAAAAAATTAAAAAGGTGATATCAAAATTTAATCAAGTTGTGCCAAAATCATCTGATTTATTTTAAATATTCAGAGAGGTATGAAATATATGCAAACCATTACCTAATACGCTTCATTATACTCACTATTTTGAAGAGTTTCCAAGTAACAGGTTGTCTCAGGCTTAACCAGTAAGATTTCAGATTCTTAAAGTCAAAAATAGACTTTTTTGCTCATAAACATGGGTCCTTAGATCAAACCCCACCGAGCTACTGCCACAAAAAGTTTTAGAAAAATATATGTTTGTTCCAAATTAGGGGAAATTTTGGGCCAATCATCATGAAAATTTGACTTCAGAAGTAACTTTTCATGCCGAATCAAAAATTCAGGTGAAAAATGAAATAGGATACATTTTGGAGGGGTTTTGGGGGTACCTTACTGAAAATAAATCGAATTTTGAATTTATGTTCGAAAAATTGCAGTTTTGATCAGATTTGGAAAAAAACTTGAGAAATATGGTGAAGTTGTTCTCTGCATTTTTTTAGTAGAATCAGTCGCTTCGAAAATATTCAGCCTAGACCTTAAGCCGTGCATCTTAATTACTGAAAGACATGCTAAAGCTTTTCTGTTTTCATAATGCACCTTATTAAGATGCTACACAGGTTTACAGACGAATGCACAGAAGGTGTACAACTGCAAATTAAGGATTTCGCATGGTCAGGAGCTGGTATGTTGCAAAGAGTAGAAGTACTGACCTGGTGTAGTTTGTTGTATATGCAGTCATTTCTGATGCATCTTCCTCTGTTGAAGCATCTGCTTTTTTGGTTGAGGGTGTTTCAAAATTCCAATGATTCAAACAGTGTAAAAACATTTTCGCTAAATCATGCATCATTTGCCACTCCTGTGAAAGAAAATTGTTAAAATTAATGAATATATAAAATCCATAGATGATGCTCATTACCTATTTTCACTCATAGTTTACTAGACTGTAGGATATGTCGTCACCTTCCCGGCAAAGTATCACAAGCGCCATTTTTACCGAAATTGAGTTATGAATAGTTCCGAAATAACGAGATGCATTTACATACGAAAATAATCATTTTTTTTACAACAAATATGTAGAAATATGAATAAAAGTCGATTAAAGTTGATGTACTTTCGTATCACAAGCGCCATTTGGGAGAAAAGTATCACAAGCGCCAAGTTCGGCAACCGCCTACCTTTCTGATTATTTCACAATTTTTGTCACGGCAGTCTTCGGAATGACTTGAAACTAAATTATTTTCGCATGTAATTACATCTCGTTATTTCGAATATAATATTTTTTTTAGACTAAATATAAATAAATATTTAAAATACTCCATTGAAGTTGACGAACTCTCGTATCACAAGCGCCATGTAAGAGAAAAGTATCACAAGCGCCAAGTTGGGAATAATCGCTCATCTTTGAGATTGATTTTCGATATTAGTATCTACAACTTTTGGAATGACTTGGAGCGATTCGTCACTTTTCGGCCGAAGTATCACAAGCGCTATTTTTATTAAAGTTGAGTTATGGGTAGTTTTGAATTAATAAGATGCATTTACATGAAAATAATATTTTTTTTTAGATTAAAAATGAAGAAATATGGAAAAAACTCCGTTAAATTTGATGGGCTTTCGTATCACAAGCGCCAATAGATTCTCAGAGTGCCCCGAGAAGCCCATATCACAAGCGCCAATTTTCAAAGAAAAACCCGTTTTTTTAAAGAAATTTTATTAAAATTCGAAGCAGGGAGGTGTGCTGGATCTATATTTCAAGTTTCAAGCCAAGCATCCGTCTTTTACGGTCGCAATTCAGTTTTTTGTGTCTCTTGAAAAGTTGGCAAAGTGGCGCTTGTGATACTTTGCCGGGAAGGTGACGATGTATTTGTGATTAAAGAAGGCGTTATTTAAAATCAGATACTGATTCAACTGTGAATTGGAAACAATGAGTCACTTAATTTTTTTGTTCTTTTGTTCTTGTTTCTTTCTATTTTCCTATAGCCACATCAGCTTGAGCTTCGGTTTTTCAATCTAGCGGACGAATTCGTCCAAGTTACAATGCACTAGTAACCTCTATGGTTACAAGGCCCTGTGATATGATGCTACATCTATGGTTTTCAGTAGATTGGATCAACATTGTAGTGTTTTGATTTTGTTGAATACTATTTTGAAGGTATCATTTCCAAAAAATAATCATTTCAATATTGAAAAATTCTAGTATTTGCTCTGCATCCCAAATTTTTTCAAAGACATGTATAAAAATATGATTTGATACAGACGTTACTGGATGGCTTATTGTAAAACCTAATACGACCACCATTATTTTATGTCAACATATTAACTCCTAAACCATGCATCTCATTTGTGGTGTTTGAAAATCTCCACTGCTATTTTATTTTTTGAAGAGGAACAAATTAACATCAATTATTAATTTTTCATTTTTTTCTAAAATTGCATCACAAAGAGAAGAAAAATTGTGGAAATTATTAAGAATTGATGTAAAATAGCTCTCCATATAAAAATAAAGTAATCCAGAGAGTTTGCAGCAACGCAAATGGAGACACGTGGTTTTGGAGTTTCACCGTCAATGAAGTCCTTAAATAGAGATAAAGAGATACTCCCTCTTGTCAAAAATACATATTTTCCATACATAGACATTTCATCTGATAGGAAAAGGTGCTTTTCATTACTCTTTGCTTTCTTGTTACGACCTGCATCAACAGCTACTTTGGGCTCTGTGCAGAGCTATTGAGCCTGAGATAAATGAAGTGCTGTCACAATAAAGTGATTCTTATTACTTAATGATATTTTTTGAATACTTACCACTTGAGGTTTATCAGCAAATTTATAATACACGAAATTGAGAATTGCTTTGGCTATGCTGGGCTGTTCGAAAGGTGGATGACCCAGGGGCCCTTCAACTTTAGGTTTCCTTAGGTTCACAATTGATTGTCGAAGGAGCTGCCAAATCAAAGCGATATAGAAATTATGATATTTGCCAAATATTTAAATAGGAAAAACGAGCAAGAGTGACTGGTCAGACCAGAAAACCTATTTGAGTTTTCATTCCTTGCGGGGGTTTTAAAAAGGGCCGGGTTTCTACGAACTTGGCAGAAAAAACTTCTCTTACTTTTCCAGGTTTTCCCTGAAGAGAATAATCTTCACTCCCTGACTTTTCAAATATTGAAAATTTCCGTGCGTAGAAGTAAAAATAAATAAATTTAAGGCAATAATTTCACTATGTACAAAATGTAGGAACATATAAACCTTCATTCTTCCGGTATTAATCCCTCAATTAACTAAAATTGCGATTTCTTATTGAAAGATAACCCTCTGTTCACTATCCAAAATGTAAATCATGACAATGAGCCCCAAACCAGAAAGATATTTAGTTTGATTGTGTGGACAGGGCTGATGTTTTTTTAGATTTCAAGTTTCAAGACTTTTCAAATTTCAGTTTTATTCATTCAATTCCCTGGCCATTTTCCGTTTTTCAGGCCTGCAGACACCTTCTTTAGACCTAAATTGCACTCTTTGAAAAAAGTCTTGATTTTTACTTGGCTGACTAAGCTGAGTAGCTAAGTATTTACATAACTTTGGGATAACAAAAAGTAACCAAATAACTTACATCAAAAAGAAAATAGTAAACTTTTTTGGTGTCCGCATCTTGTTCCGTGTGCATTGACATGAAAATATTTTCTACATCTACAACCATCCCTAGTAGTCTGTTTATTTCTTCCTCCGGCAAGGTCTTCAAATGGGATACATGATTTCCTGAAAAATAAATTAAAAACTTTACGGTAAAAACACCCATGTTTGATACCTCAAAGTAAAAAAACAGCCCGTATTGAGCCAATGAAAAGCTCCTTGAGCCACGAAATTGGTCCCTTAGTAATCTATCTTAAGAAATCCGAATTTTACAGTCTTCATGCACCTCTCTGACTGATGGAATGAATTTAAAAATGGGAAAAGAAACCCAAATGTCAAAGCCATGTTTCCTTGCAACAAGTAAGATAGGTCAAAATCTGTTTTTTTTTTTTACTTTTTAATTCACTCGGAATTTCATTTAAAATTAAATTTAATAAATCTATTTTTGTCCATGGGTTCATTTTCCTGCAAATTAGCACTTTTTCCTTTAGGGTCAATGGTAATGTGCCATCAGGCCAAGAAAAACTCATTGACGTATAATACAATCTAGACCGCTCATTAGGAAATTTCGGTGAGACTAGGCTCCCTTCAAGCGAGACGATAGGCAACCCAGCAACACCCAGCAAGTGTACCGGCGATATGTACTGAGACAATGGTGGAATTTGTAGAAACGCCAGTCTTGCCAGTGCCGTTGCCTGATACAGGTACACTTAGCTCATATATCCGGCGGTATCAACTAGGCTGAAGGCGCGTCTTTACCCTGATTTACCCCGCTAGCTGTCTTATCTCCCCCGCCTAAAGTCCGGCCAAGTGCGCGGTCTAGATTGTATTATACGTCAATGGAAAAACTTAACACACTTAAACCTGCCCGCCCTGGTATATCTTAATCAAACCATCCTAGATGCAAAAGAGTGAGAGTGAGGAAAACCAATCCCAGAAAATGTTTTTAATAAAAAGATGCTTTTATGTGGACAGAAAGTAAATAGCACAAAATTTACTAACCTAGGATATGTGTGCAATTTCGACATGGGTCCGGAAAATTAGCTAACTGAGTGGCGACATCCACTCTTGGTGATTTGTTCGGTGACAATGGCGCTTTCCAACCTGTGCACTTGCAGCCATCTGACTGACACGCTGAATAAATGGCTAGTTTTAATATCTTCTTAGCTGACTGCCAGTTGTAGACTTGCTGTTTTCGTTGCTGAATTCGTTGAAGATTATTTTGCCTAGGTGACGGCGATGGTGCAGCAGATGCATTTGTTGCTACATTTGTTGAGTCCACAGGTGCAGGATTTTTATTGGCACTTGTGCTGGCTTTGCTGCAGTCGTTTGCTGAGGAGGCCATATCAACAGGTGGCACAGTTTTGGAGGCTGATAAACTCCTGGAACAATCGTTTAAAATATGTGCTGTAGATTCCAAGTGTAAGATGCAAATGTAATTATTCCATGTAAAATCAGCCTGTCTTAAGCTCAACCAGTGGACGAATTTTTGATACTGAAAATACCTGCATGTTTTTTTCGGTTAAAAGTGATTAAAAATATTTCATTTTAATTTTTCAAGTCACACACTCAGCTGCAGCATCGCCATGTGACATCAATGTAGGGGGGTAGATTCTGATGGTGGCAATTCAATTATCCCTGACAGAAATCATGATACACGGTTAAACAAAGAAAAATGTTTAGCTCTTTACACAGGCTTTCAACAGGATGTGACTCAATTTCTTTACAATCAAATTTCAAAGATTAAATTTGGACTCTTTTTTGCCCGCAAATAGTACTGTCTTATCTGATTAAGTCCAATTCACTATGTTCAACTTTTTATTTTACTTTACTTCCATTATTGTCAAATTGAAAGTTTAATTGTGTATGTGATACTAACATGAGAACACAACAACCAGACGAAAAGTTTGACGGAAACTTGAGTGTGACATCGCCTACGACTGTTCAACTTTCCATTCAATTGACATGGAAAGTTGAACTGTAGGTAATCTCCCTACCAACATTGGCCGAAGCTGTACATTCGCAAACCAAACAGACAGAAATACCTGAATTCCAATATCTTATGGCTATGGTTATTGTATGAAGTATTTAAGCATTCGACTTCCCATCCAACTTTTCGTCCGCTTTGGTTACTTAGATGAAAGATTGAAATGTGTATGAATTCGGCTTTGGGTTTCTAATTTTAAAAAATGTTGCATGGAAAGAAATCAGCAATGTTGCAATTAGAGATACATGTTCTACTGATATATTCCACAATATGGAGCCTGAGAAGTTATGGAGGGCTTTTTTTTTATCGCGGATCAAGGTGGATCGGAATCCGGAGCGATCTGGACCGATCCAGAGTGTTCCAAGTGATAAAAAAATCCAAACTTGTAATTTGGTTAGATTTGTCATTGTTTTGATTTGTTGGGGACGGCAACTTCCTCAAAGGATCACAGTGGATCACAAGCTCGCCCCACCTTGGAAGAGCGATCCAGCAGGGCTTTTTTTTTATGCGGATCGCAGTGGATCGCGATGAACATTGGTATTTTTTTTATTCCGTTCCTCCGCGTGATCCAAGCGTTCCAGGTGGATCAGGGTGGAACGCTGGATCGCTCTTCCGAGGTGGGGCGAGCTCGCGATCCACTGTGATCCTAACCTAATGCGAGGAAGTTGCCGTCCCCAAAAAATCAAAACAATAACAAATCGAACCAAATTCCAAGTTTGGATTTTTTTATCACTTGGAACACTTGGATCGGTCCGGATCACTCAGGATTCCGATCCAGTGCATTCCACTGCGATCCACCCTGATCCGCGATAAAAAAAAAGCCCTAGCGTACCACCCTGATCCACCTGGAACGCTTGGATCACGGCTGAGGAACAGAATAAAAAAATACCAATGTTCATTGCAATCCGCATAAAAAAAAAGCCCTTAGGTAGAAGAGATCATTCGTCAGCTAAAAATAAATTATTATAGGTACTCATGAATTCACTGGAAAAAATTGAAAAGCACACTGCACTGCGGCTACTTAAACAAGACCGTCGGATTGTGTTAGAACATTGCTCGCAAGGAGAATCAACAAAATACCAGTTTCAGTAAAATCTGTCTCAATTAAAACAGGCAAAATTTCACTTCTTCCGGATGAAATGTTACCTTAAAGCTTCTTCCGCTTCGCATTTACAACTGCAAATAGAACTGCAAATAGAACTGCCCCATTGAGGGTTTGTCTTCCCTGAAGATTTGAACGCTTCGAGTCTCTAAAGTGACTGTGATGCATGAAATTGTTTGGGAGGAAACGATAATTGCCTTCAAAAATTACAGAATGCACTAAATTCACAGAAATCCATGGTAAAATTGGAAAAAACATACCAAAACAAAAAAAATTGTTCACCAGCCAGTAAAGAACAACAACAAGTACAACAACGGCGGATGCAACGCACTCTCTCGGCTGCCGGTCGTCTTATCGAATGGCACGGAGGGGGAGGGGGGTGAGTGAGAGGGTTGAGAGGGTGAGTCGGTGAGTGTGAGTGAGTGAGTGAGTGAGTGAGTGAGTGAGCGCATGTGAGCGAGTCATAGAATACATGGGAAAATTACGTTTTCGGCGGGAAAAGGTAGGCAGAGTTTGTGTTTGTGTGTTGTGGCATGAGCATGAGCTTGAGCATGCTTATTCTTTATTCCAATATTTCACGTAAAGTTATCCAGCCGTTATTGTCAAGTGTCAATTTAACAATTTACTAAACTTTATTGCCTAAACTTTATTTTTTATTGCCTCTTGAGGCTCGCCTAGAAGTCCATCAAGTATCAAGTTCGAACCTCATCATCTCATTCAATTTTCAGGTAATTCCCATTTATTATCATGCAGTGCGCTGCGCTAAGTGCTTTTTTTATGGAGGAAGATTATTATTTAAAGTCTCGCTTTAATGCAGAACATATAGTGACATGATCTTGAAAGAATGTTTACCTCAATGATTTCAAGTAAAACTAGTCTTAATGCACATTTTGTGAAAAATTCGCTCCCAAATTCCAATTTTTAAGCATCAAATACTTAGTCAGCTTCAACTATTTTTTTGTCATGTGTATCCATGTAATTTCAAAACTTCAAACACTACTTCTTGAAGTAGCAAAAAGTGCACTCATGCGCCTTGTCCTCCAAGCTCCTCAATTGTTCTAGAAACTGACTTACAGCGTGAAATTTGATGATTGAAATTGAAATATGCACCAAGTACCTTCAGTTGCAATGTCTCAAATCACCGCTCAGGTTTTACTTTTTCAAAAAACATCAAGGTGACTTGTCACAGGTTCTTGACTTGGTCGAACGGGACTTATAGGTAATAGCATACCAGCGGGGCGATTATTGAAATGATATCGACTGTATGTCGCCGCTTTGTTGTGTCGCGCCATCGACTAAGCAATTGCTTAGTCGATGGCGCGACACGACAAAACGGCGACATACAGTCGATATCATTTCAATAATCGCCCCGCAGTAGTCAACCCTAACTTATGCTTTAGTGAGAGCTTAGCCCTGTACCCAAGCCAAGCCTATCCTAGAGCTCTACACAGATTTGTTGTCGAAGTCAACTTGTCCGATTCTGTTTGGTTTTCCGTTTCTTAATGCAACCGAACGGTCGTATCGTCCTCCTGAGATCATTGAGCGTTTGGTAGGAACGTTAGGCTTTTGTAAGTGAACAAACAAGCCATCGGGTATTTCTAATGGAGTCTAACTGCACAGACCGTTTGATAATTCCGTTTCCTAACAGTCCTAAATAGTTGACTTTGGCAACGCATCTCACATTAAGTAACTGGAGCAAGTAGATCTTTGGCTTTGCCCTTTTAGCCCTATATCTCTTAAATTCCTCTCCCCCCACATTCAGCTTCATTATCTCTGATTCAATTTCCCATGTGAGCTTCTTGTTGCAGCTGTACATCCTCTCTGCCACAACTTGTAGATACCTATAACTGACTCATCCACACGAGTTAACTCATGGATGAGGGAAGTTGATTTTTATTATTGTTTGTATATTGTAAATGAAATATTTTGAACAAATTGAATTGAATTGAACTTTATTGAACTTAAGAGGTATACTTTGGGCATATGAAAAGTTTTTATATCTGCAAAGAGTAAATTTGATGACTATGTCAAAATTAGTTTTAATCTTGTGCTCAAAACCTCTACTTTCAGACATGTCAAAGTCACAGAAAGTCATGAAATCTGGAAAGAGCAGCTTGAATAAAAGCCGTGCATCTCAATCCCAAACACAGTCGGTTGCATCCCAGTCGCAACACTTATCGGAGGAGGAATTCAAGGAATTGGTGGCTGATATAGTCAAATACATTCTTCATCGGCATTTTGAAGGAAAAGTTACCAGGAGAACCAAAATCCGAGATGACATTATCAAAAGCAAAACTAGAAAATTTGATCAGCTTATGGAAAAAGTTAAATCACGTTTTGAGAAGGTGAGTGTGAAGGACAATCTGTAATAGTTGACATTTATTCACGAGTGTGAAGGACAATCTGTAATAGTTGACATTTATTCACACCGCAAGCAGTACATTTATCTGTATGGTAATATTAAAAAAGTAACCACATAAACTCCGTCGAGGATTAAAATACTTTCATTTGCAAAAAAGTGGGGTTTAAATGCAGTAAAAGCTTACTAAGCCAAATTGTGTAGGGACCGAAAAAAAATTGGACTTGAGTGGCAATTCGTCTTAACCAATTCTCCACTTAACTTATAAACATATCTAGAGACCAAAAATAAATTTGACTTAATCGGCATTTTGTCGTATGTGTAGTTTGACCGAGCGAGCTTTTACTGTACATAGAAAATAAACTTTCACCACCCAAAATATAGGCTCTCTGGATGGAGACTCATGCGAGAATTTTGAGCGATCATTTTCAACAAACTAAGGCACTTATAAGGTAACTAGGGGTCTTCGCCCCTTGGCCGCTCCGAGTCCCAACCCCCTGAAGGCACTTCGCGCCATCAAGGGGCCTCTTTGCGTCCTTTTTTTGTCGCCGCAGCGTTAATAAAATTCATATTTTTATGATAAAATTTATTTAACAAATCTCAGCAAAACTTTCATACTGGAAGTAGTAAGAGCCTAATAGACTATCAATGCTGTTTAATTTTTCATTATTTTCATTTTTTTTACTTATCCATTTTTTATCCTTGCGTTTTTCTCGTTTAGCTTCTTATCAATGTTGGTTTTATTTTTTCCCTATAAAAATACAATATTAGGTATATTTTCCTTTTAAGAACGAAATGATTTTTGTTTTTGATAAGAAAAAAAGAAAAAATTTGAAGTCTAAAGGATGCGTTTTGCAACAGTAAAACAATGTCAGATAATTTACAGGTCGTAATAAGTAAATTGCTACGTCAGGATTCGAACCTATATCAGGACAGCTCGGAGGCGCAACTGACGCCTTAGAGGACTCGGCCATCACCCTTACTGATTTTAAATGATGAATCTTCTGTCCATAGATTAGAGCTAATGCGCAGGCTACACAGCCACTGCGCAACCTTCTCGGCTACTGCGCAACCCTCCGCACATAGCAGCAGCAGTTGAGGATCATTCTGTAAATTCGCTCACTTTTATAACTAGATTGTAAAAAAACCTGGGTTCCATTTCCAAAGTCTGATCATAGCGGGCTCATCTAGGGCCTATCACCTGTCAATACCCGCAAAAATCATAGAAATCGGCCTAGTAGAATGCTCAAACAAACTTTGACAAAAAATATAAATTTAATTGTTTAAATGGGAGAATTCGAAACTTCACTACGTAATATTAAAAAACCTGGGTCATATTTTGAAAATCTGAATAGAGCAAGCTCATTTAGAGACGATGGCCTGTTGATAGCCGCAAAAATCATGAAAATCAGCCTGGTAAAACGCTGGAACTAAGCGTTACCAGTTATGCAAAATTAGGAGGTCTCGGAGCTTATAGTATAGATGTATAGAAATCTGTAGGTACCTCCAACAAAATTGTAACATGACCAAAAAAAGAGTTGAAACTCTTGAAAAATTAGTGTCAATAGAAATGATAGATGTAACACATATTATAGTACTCAAGTGCATCATGAGCGCTCTATTTCAAAGGGCTCATCCAGAACTTCAAAGCAGTTTCAATAGAAACTAATTTGGCATATTTCTAAAGTCAAACAAACTCAAGAAAAACAATGTGAAAATGATTGCCTAGAATGGTTTTATATCCTGCTCTGCTCTTACATTTTGTAAGGTGGCCCTCCCGTCACCAGGCAGTTTTAATAGTCAGAAATAGACTTTTCTCCAAATAAAAAGCATGCTCAGCCATATACTGCAGCAATAGTAGCAAATTTTGGCGAATTTTAATTGGTTCCAATGAATAGAAAAATACAAGGTCCCATTGTCATCACATTTTTCCAACAACTGAGCTGTGACCAATCAGTCCTACGTCAGAGCACATTTTATGGCCGAAATCATAAGGAATATGTAAGAAACAATAACTCCAGCCTCTCAGGTGCCTTGAGCAAGGCATGGCCAGAGTGGTCAAGTATAAATATAATATCAACTTTCATTTCACTGGAGTTGAAGCCAAACAAGTTTACTCACTTTTAGAGTGCGACAGAAGATAATCTGTTATCAGTTTACCATTGAAAGTAAGCAAAAGATCTAAGATGACAGATCTTCTGCTTAACTCAAAAATTATGTAAGTTTATTTGGCATTCACTTGAATTGTATTGTAACATTTGTAGTTCCTTTTATTGCATCTGAGTACGTAGTACAACAAAATCACTGAAGGCAGCATTTAATCTACAAGTTGTTTCAGGTTTTACGCTGTCTAGTATCAGAGAAGTTCTACAGGTTTGTTCCACAATTAGAAAAATTGGAAACATTGATTTCATGCTCAGGTTTTTTTCTCTCTTTTGTGTTACTTAGATGTATTTTTGTTGAGTATTTTACATTCTGTTTTCTCTAGTGTTTTGGGATGCAACTCATTCAGATGGGGAATGGTCCAGGAAAAGAATCTTATACCCTTAAGAACCGATTAGCAGAGCAAGATTACTCTTTGCGAGATCCCAAGTTGGAGCGAGAATTATCACTTTGGAATAGCAATGCAGAACGTGCCAAAGATGGGCTTTTATCCATTGTTCTGGCTTTTTTATTTATGATGAAGACCCCTGTCAAGGAAGGTACCTAATAATCCTTTTTCTACTTGTTCTGCATTTCCTTCGAAGAAAAGACAACTCATAAGATGTTTGTGATTGCAAAAAAAGCTTTCTTGCAATGAAACGGAATTTTTTTCTCTACCTTGTTGTGCAGTTGAATGGAGGAGAGGTTGCAGTTACAATTTTCAACACAGTTCATCATGCCCCTTGAACATCTGATTAATCTCGACTTGTCTTTATTTGAGTTTAAATCCCCTTTAGGTATGTAGCAAGAGATTAATAATAGTATTTTATGGGTAGAAACAGTATCATAATCCAACCTAACCAGTTAATTTTAACTGGGAAGTCATACTTTCTATCTTCACCATGATGAACTCAATTAAACTGAGTACAAAGCGTTGATGTTGATATTTTGACCAATTTTTCCTTTCTCATCAGTTTAAGTCTGAGTGGAGAGCATTTATTAAGATTTTGCTAAGTTTTACATCTAACGTGAAATATCCCACTAACTGTGAACTCCAGAACACCTCGTTGCATAATCTAATACCACACCCATTAGTATTTAAAGCCCTTGAGCAGCCTATCATTACAAAGAACTCTTATTCTAAAATATATCATGCACTGCATTCGGCCCTTAATGGCTTTGGCTAGTCTTCAAAAACCGTTTGTATTTATATGCCGTTGATCCTTAACAAATGAGCCACTGTAGGTGTTAAGAAGACTCAATACTTCAATCTGTTCTTGTTAAATTAGAAATTATTTATATCTGCAGATAAAATATACACCTCAAAAAATAACGCTCATTAGCTTTTCCACAAAAAGAAAATAATGTATGAATATGTTATTTTTTGTGCTGATAAGTAAAAAGAACTATCTGGTGTACTTATATGCAAAAGCGATTCATCAGAAAAAATCCTCGAAATTATTGTATCAGTGAAATATTTTGGAACCCATGACTAGCTACAGAGGAGAACATGTACCTGAGATTGCTCTATAGCGAGAAGATGTCAATCGATTTTGTTTTTCAGTTTTAAATTGCTAGATCAATTTTGTTTTTCAGTCTAATATTGCTAGAAGCACTCTATCTTCAAAGTAAACTGTGCACGGCTTAGCTGAAGAAAAGTTCTATGAATAGTGAATGTACCTCTTCGATCTCTTCGGGATCTTCAAGTAGGGTAAAAATACTGTCTTCAGCTAAAAATTGGAATGTGTATCTTTTGCTCCTCAAAAAATAAATGGACTTTTAGGTATTTTTCTCTTGAAATTAGTGAGTTTTCCATTTTTTTCTGCAACAAATATTTCGAACTAAAATCCAAATTATCAATAATTTCTTGACTTTTTTTTAGATAAAAATCTAAAAATTGATACATTTTTCGAGGAGATCGAGTAAAACATTTCAGTTTTTGGCTAGAAACGTGGTATTTTTACCCTACTCTTAGATTGAAGAGGCACTGGCACTTTTCATAAACCATTCCTTTGAGTGCGTTACCACAATCTTTGGTGACTGCCATAAGACTATTTATCGAAAGAATATTGTAAGTAGTAATCCATCTAAAATGATAAGAGCCTTTTTTAGAAGTGTAACAAGTAGCTGAAATGTGTTTTTATTAAATCTTGTTCTCAAATTTTGATTCATTCTGTTCCAGAGCGACTTTATTGCTTCTTGAGGAATATTAAAGTGTTGGAAAATGAGATCTTGTTCACCAATGAAGACATCAAAACACTGCTTACAAGGGTAAAAGTGCCAATTTTGAATACTAAACAGAGTATAGGGCTTAAGTAAGCTGATGCCTCTCTGTTTAATTCTACCTATTAGATGGGGCATGCCATCTAATAAAATTTTCATTAATCTTGAGTAATTTTTAACAGAATCATGAAAAATTGGAATTTTACTGAAGAAAGATTGAAATCAATTTTAAACATTCTTGTTCACTTCCATAATGGCTCAGTTATTGTACCTTTCTTGCGTTATTATTATGATTCGCCACTTTTTATGATCAAGAGTCGTTAAGTTGGCTGAAAAAAGACATAAGTCCAAAGTTTGCCAGAGTAAATTTTAATGCCAAATTTGGCTGGTTAAGCTATTGCAGACATGGTAAATGATGTTTAAACGAGCTGAAAGTAAAAAAAAAGCTGTGGCATTTAGCTTTTTTGGATATCATTTACCACGTTTGCTATGGTCCGTTTCACGAAACCTGAGACTATTTATTCGGCATTAAAATCCGTAAATGGCAATGCATCAGTCGCGAGCGCGGGTGACCAGACCGCTGGCCGGAAACCTTCTTTTGTTCAGCGAACATAGGCCGGCAACCCATCCATTGTGAAGGTAGGAACAATGGGCACCCTTCATCCCTCCTTAATGAGCCCTAGTACCCGGATCGAAATATTTTTCTCGCTGAAAAATTAATGTTTTGGCGTGAAAATTTAGTTCCAGCGTGAAATTATGATAAAAGTGCACTAAAATTTCGTCCAATTATCTTAATTCTGAGCTGACATACGATATTTCGCAGCGAATCGCGGTCACACGCAAATACCGTATATCTGCTCAGAATTAAGATAATTGGACGAAACTGTCGTGCGTTTATATCATAATTTCACGCTGGAATTAAATTTTCACGCCAAAAGATTAATTTTTCAGCAAGAAAAATATCTCGGTCCGGGTACTAGGGCTTAGGAGGGATGAAGGGTGCCCATTGTTCCTACCCTCACAATGGACGGGTTGCCGACCTATAGTCGCTGAACAAAGTAGGTGTCTGGCGAGTGGTCCGGTCACCCGCGCTCAAGACTGATGCGTTGCCATTTACGGATTTTAATGCCGAATAAAAAGTCTCAGGTTAAGTGAAACGGACTATAGAGTCCAAGCCAAATTAGAGTCCCTTTATACCCAGAGTTACGACAACTCACTTTTGGTTGGGCCCCAGGATTGGGCTGAAAGTGGCCTAAAAAAAAATCCAATTCTGATTGGTTCTCGCTCATGGAGGCCGAAACTAGTGCACCAAGATGGCGGTACCTCGTATGTGAACAAGAATAATGAAAATATTACCTAATTGTGGTTTATCAAGAGTAAATTGTTATTGCCATCGGTCCAAAATGAAAATAGATTAAGAAATTATTCACAAACCAATCTCATTTTCTTTTTAATTGATCAATTTGTTGATGTTGTTGTTTCTGTGTGACAGACATCGCAGGATTCCTGATCCTTATCCCCCAATATCGTTCGTTTGAGTGCACTAGTTTCGGCCTCCATGGCCAGCCAAGGTCGGCTGCCAGTCAGCTGATAATCGAGTTGTCGTTACTCTGGGTATAAAGGGACTCTAAGCCAAATAAGGTTACGCACTTCTTTACTGTGACTGAAGATTATCTGATGTCGCTTTTCCATGTATAGTTAATGGAAGAACTAAGATGGCAGATCTTCTGTTGCAATCCAAAAGTGTATCAACTGATTTGGGACAGACTCCATCATCTTGTATCCCTATCCAGTGTCGGTTGTAAACAGAGGTAGACTTTAATTTTGTGATACCTTGCGGACGTTTTCTCTCAATGGTTGTAATTCAATGATTAACAACAACTATGTAGGATGTTTGAAGGTCAGCCACCAGACTGCAAGAGTATACTTTATGAGTCCAAGTACGAGTTTTTCTTCTCAGAAAAATTTACCTCTCTTACCTAAAAATTGAAACCCACCAGAGTCTGAGAAAGAATTTGTAGTGAATTGATCATGTTATTGGTATGTCTGAAATATAATTTTTATTTCAGCACTCCCAAAATTTTACCAAAAAATACCCGAACTCAATTCATCCCTTTTTTCTGGGCCTCTACTCCAATCTAGTGACCCAGAATTGTATCATAGGGGGTGCGGGCCTCCAACTTCAGAGGTCAGTATTTTAGGCAATTATGGATCTATTTGGACTTTTTGGTATTGAGAGAAGCAAACAATTTCTCTACGTTCCGATTTTGATCAAATAATTTCAAAATTCTGACAGAAACCCTTATTTTCAAAGTTAGAATTCCTCTGAGGGGAAAGGGGGAGGGCTCCAGAATGATGAGATTCCGATTCTGTGGGGCCAATTCTCTGTTCGTTCATGCGGTCCTTGACTTTGAACACCCTAAAACAAGCAAGGAAAAAGCCAGGTATGGTAGGTCTGGGCCATCCTGTACAGAGGATTGGCATGCAGGCATAGAGTTTTATGGATCTAGAGGAAAAATATATTTTTTATATTTATGAGAGAATATTGTTTCAGGACTTCGTTGAACAGCAGTATCTTAGTTACAAAGATGAGCCCTCCAAGGATCCAGATGAAAAAATCAAAGTTTTCAGTTGGGGTGATCGAGCACGGCTCACTATAAAAAAAAGTGATGTATTCAAATTTATGAGTGAGGTAAGATTTTTTTCATCTCTCTAGAAACACTCATAGGAACTCTGCACAGCTCTATTAATTTTGTAAGTGGCCCTATTTAAGTTTTCATCATTCATGAGTGGCTTCAAACAGGGTGTCTGTGGGCTCTACAGGGAAAAATCCCCTGACCTTTCCAGGTTATGCCTGACCAAGATAATCAAAATTCCCTGACTTTACACATCGCGCTTAGAACTAAAAATGAAAATTGTTCTTGAATTTATTTTGCTGCATATGATGGACACGTGTGGCTTGTTTCTCTTTACATGTTAATAGGGCTGTGCGAATAGTGAATTTTCCGAACGAAGCGAATAACGAATAATTTAAGTCAATTATTCACAGCTACGAATAGTAAAACGAATAATTTGAAATGACTTTTTTAAGTCTGAAAATTCGCGAATATTACAAAAGTCGACAAAAAAAATGTGATTAATTTTTTTAAGAATTTTCCATTTGCTCATACACTTGCACAGAAAACAACAACAGTAGCCTAGGCTGTTAAGAATGTGTTTGAAGATCCCTGGATACTGGCTTAACTGTCCCTGCAGGTACATATGCATTCCCAGGATTTGAAGTTAACTGCGCGGGCAGTCAAGCTAGTGTCAAAGGATCACCAGACACAATACTTTATTTTTTTCAGTGTAAATGAAAATGTATTTATGAACTTTTTTTTTCTATTTCAGACATTTCTGTGTCTTTCAATCCTTAATTTGGGCTCTTTGCTTATCCCCTAATCGCAATCGCGCTCGCTGTTCGTAAACTCGGCAAAGTCGGTAAAGATCAAAGGAGATCTGCCGTTCGCGATGTCTCGGGTGGAAGCTGGAGCCTTGCGCAGGTCCTCGCAGATTCACGATTGCCACTCGGAAATTTGTTATTTTTGATGGCGCGAATATTAGAAAATTCGTTCTTCGTGACGGCGCGAATATTTGAAAATGTCAGTTCAAAAATTCACTATTCGCGATGGCGCGATTATTCGCAATTTGCGAATAGTGCGCGAGGCAGACGAAGCGAATATTCGCCAAATATTCGCGGCGCGAATAGTCGGAATTGCGAATATTCGCACAGCCCTATATGTTTATGTTAATCATCTAATAAAATTAAATTGATATTCCTGAAAATGAACATTATTCCTCTCTAGAGCATTGAGCACTGGACCAAATTTAGTTTCAATCTAATTGTAGGGACCTAGTGCTGATGTTTTTCAATATAATGAGTTTTCAAAGTGTCTTTTTAGTGTTTTTTCTTCTTTTTATATCTTGTGAGTTTCCAAATTTTTCACATTTCCTGTCTCTTTCATAAAATTCTCTGACTTTCCTTTTCTCCGATTTCTCTGACTTGATTAAATTCCCTGACAAAATCTGGTTTTCATACAGGTTGACTAGACACCCTGTTTTTTATTGCATTGCACTTATCTATCAATACTGATCAAAAAGTTGAATTTGCGCTGAAGTTTGACGAGGTACTATTTTCGTTCAGATGAAGGTTTAACCCCTCCATGACCAGGGCCGGATTCACTTATTTGCCAACCCCTTCACATCCGTCTTAAAACATCAGTAAGAATCATCAAATGAACCTGCTGAAGGGAGGGGAGGATGCATAGAAGATGCTTTATTTATTCGTCATTGGCGCCTTTTTTTTGAAATCCCTGTCCACACTAGCATAAGTTCTTGAAATTTTGTACGAAAGTTAAAGCTGCCATCTCTTACAATAAGAAAGGATGACTAGTTGGCTATAGTTTTATGCTCTTATGAAGTGAGAGATTTTGCCACCTTTTCTTGTTAGTACTTTTTTTTAATCTAAAATATTGTTTTGATACCTACAATTAAAAAAATCGTAAAATTTGCTGCCATGGGCTCAAAATCTAGCACCACACTCTTGTAAACCAGATTAGAAATGAGGGAAAAAGGAATTATTTTCATCATACTTTTAAATTGTGTTATTATTTCCCCCAAATTTCAGATTCATTTTAAAATTCCACTTTTATTCAAGAACATGACCAACCAACATGAATATGTAATAAGAATTTTACAAATTCTGCAAAAAACGGTCATGACAAAAGGAAAATTCTTCGAAACGGCAACAAAACGGTTAAGTTTCGATACTTGCCCTGTTAAATGAAGCTGGCGCTGCATGAAACACTCTAAGTGGCCAGTGTCCCCTAGTGTTTCACAGTAGTCTAGTCTGTGACTCTGCAAGCTCTCTCATCTCACCGTCCACCTTAGGTGCTTTTCTTTTGCTCTCCTTTTTACTTATCTCTCACCTTCAATTGTTTATTATCTACCTTTCTCGTATTTACAATTTCTTTCATTTGAGATTGATAGAGAGTAGGGAGAGGTTTGTATGAATAGAGACAGCTCCTGGGTTTCCATGTGAAATGCACCCGGCTTGTTATAAGTGCAAATCACCCTACTTGACACATTTTTGCTGCGCTAGCTTCAGTTGATAGGCAAATAATGGAAACTTTAAGTACAAATTACTGGAGAACGGTGGCTTGTATAAAGTTGATGCAATTATAACTTTTGATCAAGATTAATTATATCAGTGGAAATCGGACGTTCTGACATCGCTTATAACGACATACCAGTCATGACAACGGAATTTCCGATTGGTTCCGTGGTTGAAATTCCATGATTCAATATTTTTGCATCAGTTGTAACGATAATTGGCCTCAAATATCAAGTAAGACCTTCATGATACCTAATTTCCAATGTACATAACTGCAATTCAGTAAAGAAGGAAAATTGGTGTGAGCCTATAATCACAAAAGGAGTGTGCCCGTCTTTTGCTAGCACTGTGCATTAAGGAAAAATTTTTTGAGAAACTTGAACCTAATTATTTGCAGAACTGTACGTTGGTTATTTCAGACTGATCTTGATTTTCTTCTCAAGCAAAAAGTTGAACTTCACTTATTTTATCGTGAAATATAAACAATAACCTATGAGATTGCTTTGGAAACTTATTCATTGAATTTACTTAATCTATTCCATGCGAAATTTTGAGTAAGCAACATTTCCCAAGATGCTTCAATTTTTTATTCTCTAGGGGTATTCATTCTGAGCCGCATACGCTCATGTCAAAATAATTTTAGATCATAGATTAAGACAATTTTGTTTTTTAGATTTACCATTGTTCGGAAAACCACTGGAATAGTCTTTATGAAGATGTAGAAGATCATAGTGACAGTGGTGACGAAAGTGGACCTGAAGATGGCGAGACTAGCTTCAACAACTGAAAGTGGACCTGGAATATTTTGTTACCATTTGTCTTTGCGGCCAATAATTTGTTTAATACTTTTATTTTTATATTGTTTATACGTTGTGGACATTCCCACTGTTTTGTGTAGTTTTAAGAATCTAATGCAAAAAAGTGCCTATTTTGTTCCTCTACCAATTGAATTACAATTAAAAATAGTCAATAATACTCTGTTCATTTTCTAGTATCTAGACTTATTCTACCTTCGTAAACTTTAACGTTTTTGTGAACTTAATATCTCTACCAACTTTCTGTCAAAGAGGTGAGATGTGAAATACACTATGTACCTAACCAAGACCATTTTTTGCTGAGAAAAAAGTGTTGTAGGATCTTCATTAAAATAATTTTTAAAATTTTACCCTCTTATGTTTTGAAATTTTGCGTGAAAATGTAAGCCTGTCTTTAAGAGTCTAAGTCTTGTAATTAGAATTTGGGATGTGAGAACTATCAAAACTCAAAGATTATTCTCACAAAATTTTATTTACATTGTATTACACTCATGGTATGTACATTTATCTACAATTGCTCCAATAAAGATCTGTACGGGTGATTTCTATCGAGTAAAACCAGAATTTATCACAAAGCTGCGAATGTCATAAATAAATACAATAAACATGTTTGGGTGATGATGAGGGAGACCCAGAGTAAATCTGATGACCTTCGTTGCCCTAGCTGACAGTTTTCCAGTATTGATTTCTCCTCTCAAGAGATTTTCAAGTTCCTCATGCATTAAAATTTGGCATGGAGCATCATAAGGAGTCACTTAAGATTCTTAAAAGGAGAGGTGAATGCGATGAAACTAGCAGCCATGGCAAAGGTCGTAAAGTTACCTCCGTTTCCCTCGTACTTATTGGGAAAATAATTAAAAATAAATTTTTTTAAACTGGAAGTGTCAGGACCAGGTACACATTCGCGAGTATTATGGGGGTATGTAACAATTTTTCATTCTGTCAAAGCTCATGATGACTTGAGGAGGATTGAAAAATTCTTGTTAGATGTTGCATAAATATGAGCGTGATGGAAAATGCTCATCCAATTCAATAGATTAACATTGTAATGGAGATGTTGAATGTGTGAGGAATTTGCGATATGACTATTGATTACTACGTAAAAGTTCGCGAGAAACACGATGGTGCCACTGGTTTTCTCTGAAATCAACTCCCAAGCTCAAAAAAAGCTCTCAAGTTGAGGCCAAAATGGAGGGGATATCCCTCGCTATCCTGGGAGTCCACCTCTACATCAAGACAAACTCTCTATGCAAAGATAGGGAGCAAATACATTGACAGGGTTGCCACTTTCTTTGGGGACTCTAAAACTGAAAACACGGCATCACTGCTAATGTATTTGCTCCGTATCTTTGCATGGAGAGTACGTCTCGATGTAGAGGTGGACTCTCAGGATAGCAAGGGATATTCCCTCCATTTTGGACTCAACTTGAGAGCTTTTTTCGAGCTTGAAAGTTGATTTCAGAGAAAACCAGTGGCACCATCGTGTTTCTCGCAAACTTATACATAAGAATCAACAGTCAAATCGCAAATTCCTCACATATGCAACATCTCCATTGACTCCTCAGGATGGTTATTTCTTAACAGATTTAATAAAGCAAATTAACCGGTTTCTGTCCATGGCGTACCCTGAAGACAGGAACTTCAATCACAATGTAAATCTACCATAGTACAGAATTTCAACCGACCACTCATGATCACATCCGTACTAAAAACAATGCACAAGTCACTGATGAGCTTTGATTAGCTGTCGAGGTATTCAGATTTTTTTCGACTACTAAGGTTACATTTACAACATTAATCACTGAGTCATCGACTCCCACAGGTCAACAGACACTTGAGTGGACCATTCCTGCTTTTTTAGGAAATTGAAGGAAGTGTAATGCCAAAAAGTTGCCACTAATAATTCTAAGAAGTCATGTCTTTACAGAATTTGAAAATATTAATGGGCTCCAGTAGCCTGGAGTTCCACCATATTGCCCCCAATGATTTTCAACAAAAATTAAGGTTTTTACTGTACATGCAGCTGCTAACTCCAGAAAGCTGAGAATCCAATGGCACAAATGTTGTTTTTCAAATGAGCTACAAATAGGAGTTCTTAATTGCAAATTATATTACAATCCACGTTAAAAGTACCAAAAAAGTATTCATAGAGAACACTGTCTGTAGCTACAAGGTACTTTCATTTTTAACACATCACTTTTCGTCAAAAATTAATGACAACAACATAACAGGAACCCAAGCTATCAGAATCTGTCAATGTTTTCAAATTTTGAAAGAGCATGTACTTATTTTGAGAATTACTGGAGGCGACTTTTCTGCACAACACTTTCATTGAGTTCGGAAAAAATTGCCAGATTGGTCGACCTTCATTTTCTTCTCTTTTTCACGTTGTGGGAATGGGACCAGCCTGCAATTTCACAATCCTAACATTTTTTTCCAGACTGATTTTTTAGATCACAACAAACTTCAAAGGTAAGGTTGTGAATAATTGTTTGATTGGAACTGAAAGTGTTAAATGATTTCTGAATGTTTAAAGAAGGGAATGGCTGTCTTAGCTTTCATAACATAAAAAAATCTTTTTTACAAATGCTGAGGGAATATAATGTCAACTTATCTGTAAAAGCCAATACAAAATTGGTTACTGAGAATGTTACGACTAGGTCATTACTAATTGTCTTTGTAACCCAACATATCAATGATAAATAATGATTAACATTGATTTCTCTTAAAGAGGTAGGAAAAAATTAATAATGTAAGCCCACTTTCGGCATATCTACTTCCAGACATACCTAATTGTCTAAACAAAATCCGAGGGAAATCAAGGAATAAAAATTCTGTGAAAGACACTTCATGTTCCACGGACTACACTGAACATGAGGGGTTCATATGAACTATGCCTGTCAACTAGGTAGAACTTGCTAGAAATCTCATTAATCATCGTTTTCTTCCTCACTAGTTTTGCTACCCGCTGACTTTTCATCATCACTTCCACTTGCACTTCCAGCACTGGACTTTTCGTCATCATCGTCAGAAAATACAATTTTAGCTTTATCATGTTTCTTCGAGGAGCTTACCTCCAGGTCAGATCCATCTTCATCAGAGGAATAAATATTTCTTGTATTCAGTGCCTTTTGCTTGAATTTATTTTTGATCGCTGAAACTGAGATGGCATTTTCATCATCTGATCCATCCTCTCGGTCTGGCTCTAGATAGCTTGCACTAAGCCCTCGCGATGCACCTCTTTCTTTCACTCTTTTCTGTTTACTTTCCCTCCTGAGCGAGGCTCTGAGTCTCTCCTCTTCCTTCTTTATTAGCTCATCTCTGTTATGCTCTGGATCATGGCCAACTAAGGACAACATTTTGACTCCTGATGTTTTCTGTGACCGATCAGCCAAAGAAAGTGTCATTTTGCGATGCGTGAAGGATTCTGTAGAATGTGGTCGGAATGTGAGCTTAGTTTTAAAAATAGCTTGGCCTGCAAGACCAGTACCTTGCCTTACAAATAAGTGATTGTGGTCACCTTGAAGGGGTTGCTTGTATACATCAAAAATTTCCGATCCAAGGTACAAGGACATACTTCCATCCGACCAGGTTACGAACTTAGCATTGCTTTCTTTACTTAGATTTTGATCTTTGTCAAAAATTTCACGCCAGCGAATGGTGTTCTCAACTTTAAGTTTAAGGCGCGCTCTACCCTCTTCATCTAGAGTTTCTTCTTCATCAATTTCGTCTTCGTAGTACTTTGAATCAAATGGTCTAGTTTCGACAGATAAAAAATTGGGCAATTTGACAAAATGTAAGTCATTCCCAAGATCACAGTTCAATTTTGGCAAATCGACATCGATCCTTGTCTCGACTTGTTCTTCCGCTTCTTCCTCATCTTCTTGAATTCCTACTTTACCTGGGGAGCGTTCACCATCAAAGTCTCCTTCATCTCCACTTGGTCGTACTTCATCTTCACCTGCATTGCTACGTGCATCTTCGTTTTCTACATCACTAGCTCTGCTTTTAGCCCTTTCACTCTTGTCACTGTCATCAGAACTTAGATCGTCCGCATCACCGAACAAAGCTTCTGCAGTTACACCTTTTTCCTCTTTACTTGACTCAGCTTCACTACCAGAGCCCTTCTGCTCAGATGATTCTCTACGGCTTTTACGACTACCCACTGAGCCGCTACTTTTCTTCGAGTCCTTACTTTTGACGGACCCATCACTATCATCATCAATCTTCAAAGTTTTTCTTTTAGCAGATTTCTTTGAACTTCCAGATCTTCTACTGCCAGCAGAACCACCACTCTTGCTTGAACCTCCATCACTTTCAGGACTTTTGGTTCGGATAGAAGTTTTACTGTTCACAGAGCCTGCATCACTCATGGGGCTCTTACTTCTGACAGATGCTCGGCTTTTAACAGAGTCTGCATCACTCCCAGGACTTTTGCTATGAACAGAGGCTCTGCTTTTAACTGAGCCTGCATCGCTTGTAGGACTTCGGCTCCGAACAGAGGCTCTGCTCTTGACCGAACCTGCATCACTCTCAGGACTTCTGCTCCGAACAGAGGCTCTGCTCTTGACCGAGCCTCCATCACTATCAGGACTTCTGCTCCGAACAGAGGCTCTGCTTTTGACTGAGTCTGCATCACTTCCGGGGCTTTTACTACGAACAGACGCTCTGCTTTTGACAGAGCCAGCATCACTCAGGGGGCTTCTACTCCGAACTGAGGTTCTACTCTTATCAGAACCAGCATCGCTCAGCGGGCTTTTGCTCCTACCAGATCCTTTGCTTTTGACAGATTCTCTACCACTAGCAGAGCCACTATCTGAATCTCCATCGGATGTTTTTCTTCTTACATATTTCCTTGAGCCTCTAGATCTTCTGCTGCCTCCAGAACCTCCACTTCTGGCAGAACCAGCCTCACTACCTGCGCTTTTACTTCTGGCTGATCCATTATCGCTGCCAGATTCGACACCACTCCCCGAGTTTGCTGAATCATTTGTGTCACTATGCTGCCTCCGTCTCGGTTCATCTGCATCACTGTAAAGAAAAGTACAAAGCATGAGTGATTAAATCAGCTGCAGAGTTCATTAGGAAACTTATGGCTCAAGGCTCAAGGAAATTATTTTAATTAAATGTAGAGAGCAAAAATTTGTGATTTAGATCTAATAGATATAAGAGGTCGAGTAAAAACGACTACTAAGAAGGACGTACTAAGAAAGTTCTTCTTTCATAGTTACTTAAGCAATCATGTTATCTGGAAACTAAAGTTGTCTAAACTTGAACTTTTAAATTTGGTTTTGAAGGAAAAATGGTTTTGGCTCATCATTGACAGATTCTAGGTAAATAACGACACAATACAATTTTAAAACAATTAAGTACGAATTAAAATGAAAAGAGGATAAAAATAAAAGGATGATTAAGTACTCAGTTTTCCGTTGGATTAGATGTTAAAACAAAAACAATGTTGTTGTTGTTTGAAGATTCTGTAATGTACTAACTTTTAACTTTCCCTCCTAAATTGTTCACCATTCTTCCCGGGAGAGCGTGTGTTGTGTAAAAATGTGGCGCAATGGCACGAGTTACGTGTTATTGGAATTAACGCCATGATATGTGTTTTGAGTTCTGCGTTCTTAGGTGACTTACAAATTTTTTTCGATTGAAATATATTGATAGCAGGTAAATGGCATCTACTACACTTTATTCCTGCAGCTGACTCAAAACCGCCAAAATCAAGTTATGTTATTGCCAACTTACACCGTCGATATATTAAATAATTTAGCTGCTTAATGAGTCGATTTTAGAGCAGCAGGGGAGGGATGTGGCTATATTTTGGTTACTGGATTGTTTCTCTATCAGCGCACATGCACTTTATAATGAAGGTTGGGTTCCGTCGTACTAGTTTAAGTTATCATTTCATGCACGATTCCATTAGAGTCAACACCAAATGAGTTCATGCACTTTTAAACTGCAGTAGCAGATTGTCTGACGTCAGTTTAGAACTGAAAATAAATGCAAGAATCAAGATGGAGGATCTTCTGTCACAGTCTAGAAGTGCGTGCACTTATTTGATATGGACCCTACTGAGTACAGTATTTTGAGTAATGTTGCCTCCCCCTTTTGTTTAATTATCGGAATACTACCAACTGCAAAATGTTCAATTATCTTCCACATTTTGAGTCGATTCATTACACCACATATGGTTCAGCTTGCTGAGCATTTGGAATTCATGATTCTGAATCCACTGAATTTTCGGATTGAAAGGATGATTCTGGCTACTAAGCTTCAGATATTGATTCAGCTTCAGCTTCATGATGCGGCTGTACCTCGAATAGAGGGAACTAGGTGGAGTCTTACCTATCGCTCTGGCCTGACATTGTCTTACGAAGAACCACTCAGAATAAAAAAAAGACTTTTACATAGGAACTGAATAAACTTGACTTAAATTAGTAATACGATAACTAAACTCTTGGTTTAACAAAATATTCCAAAAATTATGACTGAGACTAACTGGATTCCTGAACTTCGCTAACTTCACGGCTAGTGCTATCTAGAGTCCCTTTATACTGAGAGTCAAGACAATTCGGCTCATGGATGTCACAAACGGGAATAAAGATTACAGAAATTGAACGTTTTTCGTAATCTTTGATCGGCCCATTCTCAAATGCCTTTCTCCGTTTCTCCTCTCATTCCGTTTGTTCCTTGCCGAACCCGTAATTCCCTGGTCCATTCCAGATTATAATCTTTGCAATTGGTGAAAATGTAATCTTTATTCCCGTTTGTGACACTGTGGAGGCCTAAAATACGGGAACCAATCAGAAATGGATTCAAATTGTCTTGACTCTCAGTATAAAGGGACTCTAGTGCTATCATCACGTTTTTAGGTTATTTCACTATTTACCGGTGCCCGGTCCGGTGTACGTCATCACTTACATACAGTACGTGTTGAATGTTCGATATATATCGATAGGTTTTCACTGTTAGAACGTTGTAAGGTTATAATTTTGTTTTTAAAATCAAGTCAATACAATCAATTGTGACGTCAACTAGTCCAAATCTAGGAAATCAACATATTATTGTTTTTGTTTCAAAGCTTCGTCGTCCGTCGAAAATTTGTGGCTTTTAGCTTTTTATCTTTTTATCTCTATTATCTGAAACAGTCATGCCCAAAATGATTCTTCTTTATTTCGAATAATACTTGCGGTTAGCATCATTTCGCGTCCTGTGTATTCAGTTGATGAAGAAAGTGCCCCTGAAGCCTCCTGAAGGTGTTGTTTGCTGTTCCTGTGGATGCTTTGCATGAAACGAAGTCCTAGTTACCATCAAATTAAGTGAAGTACTTCTCTTTTGCATATCTCTCAGGGCCTGGCGTGGCGTTTGATTATATTTGGACAGGTCTTGCTTGCAGTGGCACAACTGCAAACAGCCCAATTAACAGCTGTCACGTTACTGCATTTGTAAGTCGCATGTTCCTATATTACTTTTTTGCTGTAAGAAGTTGGTGCACACATAGTGAGTGGGTCACTGTTTCAGAGCGAGTTTAAAATAACTTTTCCTTTATTTCTTTATGCGAGGAATAAAGCATTGTGTATTCCATGTGTACAGCAAAACAGAAAGGTTGCATGAAACAAGCTCTACCATCGTTTAGTCGAGAAGAGAAATCTAAGCTGAATTCAGTCGGCTAAACTTCTCAACCAACTTTTCTTCCGTTTTGGTCTGTTGAAAAGTTGGAAAAAAAGTTGGATTGTGCGATAGTAACATGGAACCCAACTATCAGATGAAAAGTTGAACAGAAACGAATCTGTTGCAATCTCCTTAAATCTTTACCCATCTTTCAGGACAACTTTTTGCGAACTGACATGACGAATTTTGATGATCATGAGGTGGATTCTTGCACTTCCAAAATTGTGCTCGCATGAGCTCTTTTTTTCCTTTGTGAGTTATGGGCATCGGTTTTACACTGAATTTAAGTGCATGTTGGCAAAATCATCAACATTCTATCCAATCAATTACAGCACCGGCAAATTTCTTATGGGTGGCCAAAAGTTGAATTAAGGCTCAGGCGTTTAGAAAATACTCGATCATGCGGGCTTCTCACGGGCGGGTGCTTAAAAATGTGGAATGATTGGCAACATTTAGGGATCAAAAGTTGATAATCGATCGGAACGCAAAGAAAAAGGTCTGCTTTTCAAAATCTAAGAAAAATTTTTTAAAAACTGATGAGAACAATCTGAAAAGCCGGCAGGTGGGCCTGTGAAAACGTGGAAGCTTGAAAGATTCTGCACCCCTGTTGAGGCTTGATGGTACAATGTCGTTAGCAGAATCTGAATTCATAGAAAAGAAATTAAGGTAAGCGATGAGAATATTGTAAACTCATCACTCATTTTTATACTCTAATCCAAGCTAATGAAGTGTCCATACTTGATCATTTGCTTTTTCTATCACTGCCGATTTAATTTTGTAAAAGCTCTATTTAAGCCCATTTTTCAACAGCTGACCTCCGAGTATTAGAGACCGGCAAGAAAAGATGTCTCAAAGTTCTCCAAGGAATACTGCCTATGTTGATTTGATGCAAACGGGTGATTATGACAGGTTAGTATCTGAGGCTCTTTATTTGTTTCGGCTCCTTCAGTTTATGAAGGTGCTAATGGATGACCCACTCTATTCAACATGACAAATTTATAATAATCACAAGTATTTTTTCGGGTTATTCTAACTAATTCTGAATTAACGGAGAGCACAGGATTACCGCTTGTGTGATATTTTAGGTAGGGAAAAAAAATTCAAACATTAATTAGAACCGTGAAAAATCTGTATTGGTTTCCTCCTGATATCTGGGATGCATTTAAAAAGAATAAAATCTCATTTTTGCAGTATCTATCAAAGCAATTTATTTCTCTCATTTGTTGTATCACGAAGAGGTTGACATTGAACGCGGACACTCATTTGCATAGGATATTTCAGACTAAATATTGAATTTTAATATCTTACTGACTTGGAAGGAAGACACTTCTATAAGAAAAACTTTCTGTAGGGCTCAACTGAACAAGAACTGAAAATTAACCAGCATAGTATTATTTAAGACCATACCATTCATGGGGCCTATTTTTTTTTCTTCATAGTTTTTTGGCACTCCATATTTATTACCATAATCTATTTTTTTCAATTTACTCTAATTTTCATTTCTTTTTTCTCTTAATTCAAGTTGTTTTTCTTCTTCTTCAATTGATAGATTTCGAGAACTATTAAAAAAGCGTCTAGTAGAATGTGGCTGGTGCGACCAAATTCAAGTGATATGTAGAGAAATCGCAAGGGAAAAAGGCCCAGGAATCACTGCTCAACAACTAATGGACGAAGTTGCAGTCAAAGGAAGAGGTAAACCATTTTCCATCCAGTATAGACTCATTGTCTTGAAATTGCTAATTGACTCTTTTCATTTTGATTTCCTCTCTTCTTTTGAATTTCAGCTTTTATAAAATTCAAGTGAAGTAATCACAAACTTAAGCAATACCTTAAGGATGACATTAAGGATAATTTAATGTTAAGGAGATAACATAGCATTATCCCATCAAAAGTACTTGTCGGTATTTTAAAACATGGAGACAATTTAAAAATATTCCAGATCCCTACCCAACATAGATACGTGTCCTTTCAAAAGATGCAAAATTATCTTTGTTTCATTCTGAATTTCCTAAATTATCACTCTTATTCTTCCCAGGCAGTAGAAAATATCATCAAAAATTGCCAGAAGTTTTGGAATATTTCTTGTCTGTTCACAGCATAATCAGAGGCAAGCATGTTTTAAAAAGGAAAGTCGAAGATTGTGAACATTTCGTTGAGTGGATTTCCTATCTACTTGAATAGACGGAGAATAAGATAGAAAATTAAACTCCCCAATTTACATTTCCCCTCTCAAAGGAGGGGGACTCACCTCTAAAAAAAAACCCAATATCAGAGTAATTTGGTCAGTAGTGAAATGGTTCAAACATAGTTCCTAAGGGCTAAGCTAAAACAACCATTACATATTATTTCCCAACAATTTTTCAAATATATTTCCCTCTGCAATGGAACACCTGTTCTGAGATTCATGAGGAAGTCCTAAATCTTTTTTTCAACCAATCATTTTGCTACGCATGGCATCTCAAAATCAGCTGCGCCATGACCCCTTCCACCCTCATCCATGGGTCCAAAATGTGATTTTCTTGTTTAAAATATGCTTGTAGATGCCTTCTTAAGAGATAGTCAGGTGTGTTATTTCATTTGGGTGTATTTTATAGCTAAGAAACACATTTCCGCTGATCTGCCTGTTTTTTCCTCTTTCAAACCAGTGTGATTTTTCCAAAGTTTCAATTGATTTCAGGGTTATCTGACAATGCTTCTAATTGCCTTAAATTTTAGGTAGCTAATTCTTTTTATAGATAGAATCAATTACCCCTCAGTGCTACTCGATTTTCCATCATGATCGAAATAAGCTGTACTCTACAGACTCCCCCTTTTATATCTCAAGAGGAAGTAGGGGACTTGGGGATGATGAATCAGGGGATTTCTTAGAGTCAATTCTTATTATGTCCTTGCCATCCTTGACTTCATGCAACTTTAAATATTCCAGAAATAAGTCTAATACCAAGGGACATCCCATATGTACAGAAAGTTAAGAATCAATTCTTTAAAATTAGTCCTTCACATTTTTCAAGTAAGAAGAACAGTAACCGAGCCAAGTGGCTGAAACTTGAAGCAATACGAATATTATTGTCAGGATGTGTTTAATAATTATTTTTGTCTGTTTTGTTCTTTTCAGCCCTTGTGCCGAATTCAGTGAAACGAGAACTTTTACAGAAAGTTAAAGAACATCTTCTCAAAGAAGCTGGATACTATGATAATGAATTAAAAAAGAAAACAGAAACTGCAGCGGATGAAAGCATGTCTTAAAGAAACAAACATTTTGTGAGATGCTCAGGGGTTCAGTAATAAAACATCCCTCGCCTATCATTTGACTCAGCTGTCTGTAGAATGGCTTTTAATAAGTTGATGAACTTTTGTAGCATTTTTATTAATTTCTGTGATCTTAGTCAGTGTATTTATTTTTATTTAACTCAATTACATAATTTATTATTAATTTTTTAAGTAATAACACAATAGAATAAATTTTTGTTAAAGCAAAAAAGTAAACCCCATTTATTTCTACTTTTTTTTAATTCAAATGAATTTTTTATGGGGTTATGTCAGGTTAAGAGTTGTGAGAATTCAAATCCATTCAAGTCATCGTCAATGGAAGTATCTAAGTGTAGTGCACCTTTATCAGGAAATGGAAGATTTCTTAAAGTCTAATACTAGTCGATTTTATTGACGGAGGTTTTGTCATGTTCTTGAATTCTCTTTAAAAAAATTGCCTACGAAGGATGGCAAATTTGTAAAGATTGGATAAAAAAAAATCAGATAGCTCTAGATGCTGTAACCTTTGTGAGCGGCACATTACTCCTTTGAAAAAACTGCAGTTTGGTCATTTAAGCAAGATATTATATTTCAGATTCTCAGTATAGACATTTTGTGTGTAGGTAAAACTGAAATCATAAATCTGCTTTATAAATGATGTGCATTCTGTGAAACGTCTCTTTTCTCTAAATACCCACGAGGTTTTCAGTCTCTTCAATTGTTTGTCCTCATGAATGCCAGTGCAGTTATTTCACATATGTCTCAAAGGAGCTCTCAAAGATGCCCTATTTCATCCTATATCTGTTCATCATTTCTTTTTTAGCTTGACTAAATCTTCCCTACTTTATTTTCTTGCAGATGCTCCAAATAATTTTTGATCAATTGAGGCTAGTTATTAAAGGTTCAATCGAAAGTATTTATGGTAGTTTTTGCAGGAAAACAAAAAAAGCGCATGGGAAACTATTTATTCCAATCCTAGGAAAATATGAAATCTGTGAAATACTCAATGAGCTGTTTTGGAGAAAACCCTCCGCTGAATGAAAAGAAATAAAACTAAGTTTTGCGGAATATGCGATTATGATTGATTGCTGGTCGCCGTGTCAGAAATCAAGTCTGTATGATTTCTTTCATGTTCAACAAATTTGCAATATCGAGAGCGGTCGATCAACTTTCTTGTGTTTGAGGTTTCTTCCCATCTTTTCTAAATTCTTTATTTTGAAATCATCCAAAGAATTGCTTGTTATTCACAGAGATCATTACTGTCGCAGGTTTTGCAGAGCGCAAGGCTACTAATAGACCATGCATCTGTAACGTGTGTGGTCTCAGTTACAAAACTCCAGCTACTCTGTATCATCACCAATTTGTTCACACAGGCGAAGCATCATGTTATCTCTGCGGCAAAAAGCAGTCCACCAAAACGAACTATCGAAGACACCTAAGTCTGGTTCATAACCTTAATTTATATCTTAAGTAGTTAACTCCCGAGGCTGTACTGCATACCTCTTTTCTAAATCTGAAGTAATATTATAAATTTGTCAATTTATATTTAAAATAAAAATGGTTTCAAATTCATTTATATTGTTACGTTAGTTACTATTCATTTTAAATATTTTGATACTTACTTCGTGTAAAATAGAACCAGAAAAGACTCTGTAAACATGGAAGTTGAGTGAAAACAGTGTAAGCGGCTACCTACTTGAAAAATATCGGTATGTCTCCTTCTATGGTATAATTTTTCCGGTGTGTCCCTTCAATGTAATTAGATTATGAGATGCGATCAGTCAATTATCACTAAGAACATGATTTCTTTCAGATCAAATAATTCTCCATGTAGAACGAATGTTTCTCAGTATTCTTCTCATAGAAACACAAGGAAGATTAAAGTGCATTCCAATCATAAATGAGTTCACTTCGTTCATTCTACTCTGAAACCTCTCTAATGACAGATAACACTGTCTTTGACATTCATGTTTAATTGAAGTCAAAGTTGTTTTTTTCCTTCAGATGTTTGTCAAAAGTCTCATGAAAAGATCAAGAATCCTCTCCTCTTTACAGCTGTTTTTCTTTTGAAAATTTCCGCACTTTGTGATTCCATTCGAGCAATCCAGAATAGATGTAAGTTAGTAGTTTTGGTTTTCTACTCTCCCCACCATTTCTCATCTCCTGTTTCCTGCGGCTGTGTGAATTTCTTCTAATTTTACATTTGCGTTTACTTGTTTGAACTCTGAAAGTTACACAAGAATCAACATTTTTAATTGCATTGGATCTGTCTTCATTTTTGAACCTGTTTTCTCTTGTCCATGATTGATCATGAAATAATTAATCGTCTTGTTTTTTTCCCAGGAGTTAAACGTTATGTGCCGTCAAGCAAGTTGTTTTGCCCCATCTGTCTTCTCCAGTACAAGCATGAAAAAGACATACGTGATCACATGAAATTTCATGAAGGGAAAACTTACTGCAACATTTGCAAGAAGGCTTACTCTACTGGTTCAAATTACAAACAGCATCTGGTACTGAAACATGGAGTCCGGTAATAATGTGTGACTGTTGGTAGAAATTGCTCTTGCGTTCTCTCACAATAGTGCATTTATCTAAGTAAGTATTCTCTAAATTTAGATAGCAGGGCATCTATATTTAGCTGACGGTTATCACAAGTAACATCCATACAAATCTATCTGTCTAATTATATCTGTAAGCTTTAATATCTATTTCTACTTTTTTCATTTCATGTAGTCTTCCATGAAAAGCAAGTGCTCCAAAATTAGTTCCAAAACATCAGACAGTACGTTGCAAAACTACATAAAAGTAAGAACTAATCAGTCCAATCTCATAGGTATGTCTCCTTTTTTGTTACCCTTTGTTAAAGAAGAAAAATTCAGAAAATGCACTCATGCTGTGATAAATGCGCAGACTACAAAAAACTGTCCTTTTTACTTGCCGACACCCTTTCTTTCAAATCTTTCTTTTTTTTCATGGAGTGTGATTAAAATTCAATGACCATTGTTTCCATTCATGTGAGAATCTTCTGCCAATTGACCAGCCGCATGTCCTTGCAATGCATGATATATTTTAACATCGAAGGTCGTTGTAAACTCTCTTAAATGTTATGGCATTCACCCTCCTCAGTTAACGATGCCTCTCCTGCTTGCTATGTTTTACTATAATAAAAGTGTCTCCTAGCCCTATTTTTTTTGGGGGACTCATGTTTTAGCATCTTGCACCTCTCAAGGGGGTTCTTTATTTGATGTCTCACAGATTTATCCTTGAAGAAACCATTCCAGTGTAAAATTTGTGGAGCTCGCTACAGAAACCCCAATTCTCTGAGCCGTCACAAAGCCGTACATACTGGAGAACTTTTCTGTTCTTACTGCAACAAAATGCAGTCGACAAGACAAAACTACTTGCGGCATTTATTGATGGTTCATGGAGTCTCAGCCAAGCAAAGAACCAATAGATCTCTGATTTAATAAATATGAACGGCAGAATTACAATAGTGTATAGTACTTATGACACGTTTGTTAGAGATCATAATCGAACTCAATTTTTTTAAGTTTATAATATCAAAACACTGTAATAGCTCAAAGTTTTTCAAATGACTCATACATAATGTTTTGTAAAATTTTTAGAAGAAAAAACCACTTTCTGAATACTTACTCTTGTCATGAGAGAAATATGTTATGCTGATTTTTTTAACCCAAATGTTTAATGTATTCTTGAATCAAAAAGAATGTTTTTATTATTCCATAATTCTTTTGAAAAAGTATTCATAAAAAGATTTTAATTAAAATTGTACAGGATCAGTCAAAATTGGCGATTTTTGCCTAAGCTCAGATCTGCCTCAAATTTTCATCTGCTGTTAATCCCTCGTCAATGACAAGCCTTTTTCTGAAGATCCGTCTTAATTTTTTTGTGGTATAATTATAAATATTCTAGAATATGTTACTCAAAATTTTGACCTCTTTATTTTTTGCTATTTTTTTAAATAAAAAAACGAATGATGTATTTATTGTTATTAATTTTTTGTAATTAACTTGAAACTCCCCATTGTCTCCTGTGTGAGGGTAAACACCAATAATCACTGAGAGTCTTCTTTTTGCTATGAAAAATTTCTCGGGTGCACTTCTTCCTCAACCACATCCATAATAAATATTCATAATGTTAAAATAACTATACAAAAGTAGACTGAAAGAATTATTAAACTGTTTGCTCTGTTGAAGATGTTAGTGTGGGAGGAGGCTAAGGAGTGAATTTCAAGACACCTATTCATCCTTGAAAAGATGGACCTAATGTAGCCTCCTTCTCTCTCAAAAATCTTTAAATTTTTCACAACAAAATTTTGTAAATACTTTGTTTAATATCTACCTCCTTTGTCACAACAGGAATTTTATACCTAATGTAAACATGTCAACTCAAAAGTTAAACAAACTTGTTATTTAGCGCTCCTCTTGTCCTCAGTTCTTTTTTCAAAAATGATTGTAACATGCCACTTTTAATAGTGGCTAATCTTTTTTTTTTTTCAATATGTCTAGAACTGAGAATGCCGGAACTTAGGTACCGGTAACTAATTTCTGTTCTCTCAATAGTTTGCTTGCTTCCGTTTAATGTGTATGACTTCACTCACATGTTTAACTCTGTCCTGTTTTAGACCCTCTGCAGTTACCAGATGGCAAACCTTTCCAGTGCTCCATCTGCGGGCTACGTTACAAGCACCAAGTTTCGTTAAGCCAGCATAAAATAATGCATACTGGAGAACTATTTTGTTCCTTCTGTAATAAAATGCAGTCAACACGGCGCAACTACAAACGACATCTATTAATGGTACATGGTGTCAACTCTTAATATGTTGGACGTCTTTCAAGGTGATTCTGTACAGTACTTTTGAAGTTCCTTAGAAACTTTTGGAGACTTCTCCATCCTGAAGTCTTGATTTTTAAGCTGTTATGTTAGTAGTTTATTATCTTCAAAAATTATCTGGTATTTGTTACGCCTTATGGCCAAGATATGATTATGTGTCCTACTTATTTAAGGAACACGTTTTTCTAATAGAACTCGATTCCTTATCAATACTTGGAGGAGGCTCAGGGGCTGAGCTTCAAGATATCTTCTTCCATTTTCTCTCAAAGATTTTAGGAAGTTATGGTGTACTGGGGAAAATCTAGCGTCCTCATACAGCATAGTGCTCTGTCTCAAGTTTTCTTTGTTTATTTGTTTAGACTTTACTTAGACAGTAGCTTTTAATTTAACTTGGTGTTAACAGTTGCATCTTTTTTTAACTAAATAATTCGTCCAAAATGTTCGAATAAATTATGAGGTTCTTGAAACTAGACTCGACCCGCCAGTCTTGGACTCCCATTTTATCTTAGAATAGCACCTCCTTCTTTAGAATCTTGTGCTGGCAAGCTTCTTTTTTAAAGTATGAAAACTGAACTTCTTTTAACTTTCTAGTAGTTATTCATAGTCTACACTCACAGGCATTATTTTTGTCATTTGTCCTGGATGAATACAAGTTTTTTCTTTTATCTAATTACTACTCACTAATGCTGGAAGTCTTGAATTTCTCTTGTCTTTTTATGCTGTTTTTTCTTGCTAATTTAAAATTGTCTTAGAAATGTCTGTAGTGAAATGTATAATAAATTTCAAGGTCAAGGCTGTACAGGTATGAATAAAGTACAATATTGCAAGCAGCAAACATAGCAATATTTTCACTTTACTCAACTCTCCCCCCCCCCTCAAAAAAAAAAAACACTATAGATGTAGCCCTGCTTTTGTAAAAAAGTGGAAAGTTTTGTAAAAGTATGTTTCCAATTGCTCGACTAAACCAGTAATTCTTTTTCACTTGTAGTATCAACTGATTCATCCTCTGATGCGAAACACCCTTGCAAAATGTGCGGAAAGAAATACACATACTTGCGAGACTTGAATTATCATCAGAAAGTTCATCGAGGCGAAACTTACTGTCCATTTTGTAAAAGAGCTTACAGCACTAAAGGAAACTTGCTGGTACATCTTGGCAATTGTCACAGAATTGTTTTGAAAAATGCAAAGGAACTGGCAGATTATTTACGGACTCAAGCCTCACTCTCTGAGGAAGACATCATTCCACTCTGAAGCAGAAAAAATAACATTTTAAATTGTTGTACTCATATCATTAATTTTTTTAAAAATTTTCATCGCTGTCTTATATCCTCAAATTAATCAACTGATTTGTTATCCTCTCCATTTTGATAAGCTATGCTTGTCTATATATTTCGGTATTTGCAAGTTTTCAGTCATTCCGATAGGTATGTATTACTCTGCTTTGTTTTACAGGATAGTCACAACCATGTGGAAGGTACCTACCTATTTCTTATGAATTTTTTCACATGTTTAAAATGATCACAAATTATTCTCATTAGATAATTGAACCATTCTCAATAATAAATATTTATTATTGTATAATTGGTGTAAATAAAATGTATACCTCTACGACAGTGACCAAGACTCTTCTATCTGTGTATCAGAATAGTACATAATTAACTGTACGCAACTCATATAGAACATAATGAATATTCATTTGCCCTTTTTTAACTTATTTGACACTCACAGGCCTTGTAAAATTGTTTCTCGTCGTTCTTGAAATGAGTAATTATTTTATGTACTAATTTTCCTTCCAGCGTACTAGGTTAAGGCCAAATTCTATGATTAGATTGCTCCTCTTTGGGGGGAAAAAACATGGAAACCGCAGCATGTTTTTAAAAGGTAACTACTTGTTTCACTCAGATTAATACTTTAGTATTATTTCTCTTTCTTTCAAGTTAGATTGCTGTGCCTTTTTCCATGAATTTGACATGTCAGCATTTGATTATGAACTTGGTAGCAGGAGTAAAGTTATCACTTTTTACACTGTCTAGCTTACTTAAACCATTCATCTCTGTATTTATAGGTATTTCTTCACAAGAGATCTTCAACAACGATGGGACCCGTCCCTTTGTGTGCCATATTTGCGGATCCAGCTATTCACGTAAGAGTGATCTCCATTCACATCGAAAGTCTCATACAGGCCAGACAACCTGCCCTGCCTGTGGAAAAGCCTTCTCCAATAGATCAAACTTAAAAATGCACATCAAATTGGTTCATTTGCACTAGTGTGTCACCTATGTATGTACCTGTAATTCATTAATTTAGGCCACTCAGTCAATTACAAATGCATCTGTTAAAAATATTACAATAAATCAGCAACATTTTGATGCAATACTTGTATTTCTTTTGCCCATGATTAATTTTTAACTGCAGACCTTTATAAAAGTTGTACTTTTTTGGATTTTCATTTAATTATGTGTGTCAAATTGTTTGATTCTTTTTTCTTCTACTGATTATTTTTTTTTTTTTTTTTTTTTTTTTTTTTTTTGCATTATCAAGTATTCTAATTTATTATTTTTATTATAGGAAGTACTGAACAAAGAATTGCCTCATAGTCCAGTATAGAGGAAAAGTTCAACTCTTTGTCTGTGATGTATGTAATCAAAGTTTTGAAAACCAGAGCTAGTGACCGGGCGTCTCATAATATTGTATTGAATCATTCATACTCCTCCATAATATGAAATTAGAGAGATTGATAAAGTGCTCTTCATGTAGGTAATGATGTTTGAATAATTAGACTAATGCTTTTTTGTTTTGAAATAATTTACCAAAAAATCCGTAACTGCAGTCTCATTTTAACATTTTTTGCTACTAATTTTGTTCCAGAAAACTTTTCTAATCTATTAAGAACAAACAGAACACCAAGTCGTGCGTTCCCTTGTCATTTATGTCCCAAAAGCTACAATTGTAATTCAAACCTGGAATCTCATCTGAAATCTCACTCTGGCGAAACATTTTGTAAATTTTGTGAAAAATCTTTCTCAACTCTATCCAATTATAAAGCGCATATGAAAATGTCTCATCGCATTGTTTTTGATAACAAAAAAAGTCGTAGTACTTACGGAAATGTGTAAATAAGTGGCAGAAGAATTTTTTGTAAGATCTCCTGAGTTGAAAATAAATGATTATTTCCAGAGATACTTCTTGTAAATTTTCTTTCCCATATATGTTTAGAATACTTTGAAATTGTTGAGCTGTTGCAACATATACCTATTTACAGTTCTCAAATAAAATTGGACCCTTTCTAAGATTGGTTGAAAACCCCCTGAAATTCAATGGCTACAAGTTGACTTTTATCCCCCTTTCCCACAAGAGTTTGGATCCTGCCCAACAATATGAAGTGTAATAAAGAACAAATACCTAAACGGTACCTACACATGGTTGAAGGAAAAGCTAACTTGTGGACAGAATTAAATACAGATACATCAAGGGATTTTTCTGTTTGGAGGGCTACAAATAATGGAATGAGTCTTTTGGGAGGGATCGTATGAAATTTTTTACTAAAATCAAGAATTTTCATGTTCATTTTGTCTCATTTAAAATTTTTAATGATGCCTCTTGAAGGATATGGATAAAACCACTTAAACATCCACGTTTCTTACGAATGAAAATACAAGCTCTAAAGTTTCAAAATCATGTTTAAACCGTTTAAGTTCTCACAGTAATTTGCTCCACTGTGGAGAGCGAAGTAAGGCCTATTTGGAAAAACTTTAGAGCCTCTACGAAGTCTTATTTTGACTCAAAGAATGAGACCATAAAGGGTGATCCATTAACTCTACTCTGGGACTTACTGAATTATCCATTCCTGCTAATGGAAGAGAAAAGAAAACCAGTCATTCTGTATAGGTATGAAATTTCTTATAAAAATATCTACCTAAGTAGTCCATGGATGGGGATGGATTGTCAATTTTTTTTGTTTTATTTATTTATTTTTTTTTTACGCAATTCCTCATTTACTTGTTGGTTCAACACCGTAAATTAGGTTATTAGAGATCGGAGTCGACAAAATCTATTAAAAAGCCTCAGAATGATTTGTTAAAAAATGATCCTCAAATCGCCTTCAATAATGCAAACGGCAATTGACAATACATAAGAGTTGCAAAGTAGAACAAATTCCCTGCGCCGCAAGGAGCGATTAATTCTTGCTTCCCATTGGTCCTCCAGTTGCTCACTTGCGTCCATGTTTGTTTTGATAATGGTTTTGATGGCTTGTTTTTAACTTAACTGAAGTGAGCTACATAGTTACCTACAAACTTGATGTCCGATGTTTTCGGAACAGGTAGTATTCTAAAAGATCCGGAACCATCTTAAAACAGCGGAAATCGTTCCGGGATCGATTTTCACGGTTTCTTAAACCCTTTTGGAGTCTTTCGTATTAATGAATCGCAGATATTATCTTTTCAGAGCCGATTGGCAGAAAGGATAGCCCGAGGAGAGGCCCGTCGCGATCAGATGATGGCCAGGGAGAGGTGCATAATGCATTAGGGATGCGGGAAAAGCGGGGGAGTGTTAGGGAGGGGGAGGGAAAGGAAGGAGGGAGGGGAGTGGGGAGGTAGGCTAAAGGGGCGGTTGGTTGAGGGAGGGGAGGGGGG